ATTGTCCCGGTAATGACAGCCTTATTAGTCTTACAGCAGTTAGGAAAAGTTTCTGAAAGTCTAATAAAAGATGCTTTGCAAAGTCATTTAACAAAGTTTGATATTTTGTTGGATAGTCAACATCGTTTCATTAGGAAAATCTTGCCTAACTAATCTTTTTTGTCATTATTTGAAGAGGTTAGTGCTTATATAAATTATAGTATGAATGTGGATTTGGTGTTTCTGGATTTTCCAAAATCATTTGACAAGGTCTTACATAAAAGGCTTCTTAAAGAATTATCTGTAGGTGTGTGGGATAGGTTGGCTCATTGGATAGAAAACTAACCAGATAGAAGAGAGCAGAGTTGTTATAAATGAAGTTCAGTCATATTGGATTCATATCAGAAGTGGGCTCAGTGTTAGGACCTTTGCTCCTTTTGATTTACATCAATGAGATAGTTGAAAGAATGGTCAATAAATTATTAAGATGTTCTGATGATATTATAGTTTTGAGTGTTGCTGGCTGTGAGGATGCTGCTGCTTTACAAAAGGATTTAGATTAATTGGTAAGATGAATGAATAAATGGCAGGTGGCTTTTAACTATAATAAATGTAAAGACATACACGTGGTTTATCAGGGGCTCCTCTGTAACAACTTTCCCTCGTTCATGTCTACATTGTTGGTGGGACTACCAATGGTGAGACATACAGTAGTGAGTTAGGGACCTCCGGAGACTCTAGACCAACCCTGCAGTCATTGTCTCTATGAAATGTTGATAACATATTGTGAACCTAAGATAACTTCAAATCTCTCAACTCAGAATGGGTTAGGGCCAGTCTTGCATTGTTCTGATCTTTACATGATCCGTTGAGACTCCTTCTATACTTACAATATGACTAAAAATTCTATTGATGCATGTATATGTGTACACTCCCCAGGTTTCAATTTTAATCTTGCAGTCCTTATTACTGCAAAACTATCGGCATGTTCGTAAAAGCAGGTTCGAATATTCAGCCAACTGCCAAGAATTTGTTCACATACATCATAAACGTTTCCTATTGGAGACCTTTATATTATTTATTACCCTTTCAAAAGTAGCAAGAACATTACATAGTTTAAAAGGCATGACTCAGAACTCAAACAACCCATCTCGGGTGCTTGAAGTAGTTTGGCTCGGCTCTTATCATCTACTAGACTTTCCTGTACTGAGAATCCAGGTTTAGAGTGTTTGATAATAGGACACCTTCTAGTGCATGCATCTGTCTGCAGCAATAGAAAGGCACCATGGCACATCACTACATTCATCCAGGAAAAATTAACACAGAACCTGTGGCTATCATCCTTCTTTCTGAAAATCACCATTGGAGACAATCATACACTCTCAAAAGGCTGTATGATCCCAGTCAGTTGGGTAGTTGTTTAATCAGATTTATATTTGTATATATGTATATTTGTGATGGCAAGTGAATTCTATCTAATTGGCTAATAGATCCAACAAATAGACTACAATACTTAACTAGCGAGTAATCATGACACTAGTGCTGAGTTGAATCTAGAATGCTGCTAGTAATCTAAGATGTGGTGTGATGGAGGCAACCCTAGCATCATAACAAGAGCTAGTTACCTCCACTTCACTTACTGTGCTGATAATTATTTAAGTGGTGAGAAGATGGATTACCAATTGACTGTAGTTCCAAAGCAGCATGGAGACATCAATCATAGATGGGTGCATGGTGTTGATGTACTATATCAGGTCTGCAATGAACCATGACACACCAGATGTATATTCAGATGTACTTTTGTTTCCTCTGCTAAATACATACAAGACACTCATTGTTCTTTGCTAGGTTTGGATTGACATTAAACAGATTTCCCCCCAAAACTCAGTTTTTACTTGTTGTATTTGTGAAACTGGCAAAGAGCTTCCATAGTAGATCCACCAATAGTGTGTCAATCCTAGATCCTAGGTCTGTGAGCACAGTTTTCATCCTTTGGTTCACAGAGCCAAGATGCAGCCAGAGATGTGACTTTCTTTGCACATCCAGTCTGCTTAGGCTCTGTTAGTTTCTTGGAGCTGTACTCATGGCAGCAAGAGCTAACTACTTGCCCTTCTGCACTTACTGCATTCACTCTCCATAAGGGTATCCATCTATCTTGCTGTCAGGCAAAATATAGGCAAGTCAAATATATATGATGGTGCAGCTCATATCCATAGTAAATACTTGATTCCTTCTGTTCAAATGACATATGTAAGAAGTCACTTACTATCTCTACTGTACTCCAAACAACATGGATAGTCTTGAATAGTTCTGCCCAACATTTAACCACTAGCCAGTTTGTATTCTGGCCCCTTGCTGTGCTGTTTTGTATTCCATTATCTGCAGAGTTTGTAGTCAATGATGGACACCACCTTAGATTGAGCAACTCATACTTGGAAGAGCCATGACAGCTGCTACTATCTGCTTCCTATTTTCTAGCAAATATTTATACAAGGTGACCATCTCAAACATGTCTTGTGCTCTCATCACTTCAATTGGAAACCTTTCAATGAATCTGTCAACAAATATGTTTCACAATCCAAAGCCACCATTGCAGAGTATGTTATATTGTGCATTTGATGCAGGTTATCAATGAAAGCACCTATGTTCTCTGTAGTACCTCATCTGCAAGGCTTAAATTTAGCTTGGTGTGTGGCTTGGTTCTCCACTTGGTTAAATAATAGATGCAACTCAACAATTATTGAGTCACACTTAACCAGCTGCTCCTCTTGTAGATGCTTAACAGTATCGATCACTGGAACATCCAGACACAGTAAGAAACATTACATTGCCAGCTCCTGTGGCCCAACAATTCAAGGCAATGACTTGCCAGAACCTGCAAAGGAAGTGATCCTGATCTTTCTTGCTGCTTCCTTGAACATGAGAGGGGAGATTTGCTTAGCACTAACCATGTGTGGATATGGTTTTCAAGCAGATATCTCATGAGTTGTTCTATAGTTTGTGTGAGATATGGTTATCTAATATAAAGGGTACTGTCGAGATTTTGGGTTTTAGTCACCCTACACTCAGACGAGTGTCAGCTCTGGACCTCAGAGTTGCTGAGTAACAAGACATAGACTATGTCTCATCAGGAGTTCCCGCCAGACCACTAGTCACTCTACGACTTTCATAGGATTTCTTCTGCTCCATCCTTCATTCTCAAGGGGAGGAGGCATTTGCTGCATTGTTGGGCAGTGTCACAGATTGCTTTCGTGGATTTTGTTCACCCATAGTGTATCTTCCCTTGGTGATGGTCCAGTCGAGTAATTTTCCTTCACTTTGCACAGTGAATGCAAACAATGCAATCAAATACTTTTGAGAGCCTTATAGGTAGTCATGCAAACAAAAGTAAAAGATAACAGTATGAAAGCTTTAGGAACTCACATACAATAGGACTTGCTTAATATCTGAATGCAAAGGTTTTACAAATTCTCACTTAACATTAAGTGTAAAAGGAAAGATACACACAAATCTACATAAAATTTAAGTTGAAACAACACAAGAACTCTGTACAAAATCTGCGCTCTTTAGAACATAAAATACTATGATTTGTGCTTCTTATCTCACAGGAGATGTGTAGATTAAGGGTGGGACTGCCTGTGGCTATTAGCTTATTTGCAGACAAGAATAGCTCAGCTTGTTAATCAAGTGCTTTGTTATTCCTGTAAGAAAACCAGATAATTTGCTAATTTCACACTAGATTTAACCATTCCTAAACAAAGCAAACTTTTAGTAATTTGATTGAGCACTGTGTCCAAACAGAGAACTACAAAAACAGCATAACTTTACTTGAAGTAATATATTATGAGTGTATAAATGTATTTTTGAAGACATATTGCTATATTTGAGTCACAAATTGCACAGCTCTCCAAATTGGGTGTAGTAGAGTCACTTAAAATACATACCTTTGCTAGTTTTGTTTACGCAATACTATTACATCTAGAAGATGGTGGTTATAGAATTTGGTACACGATCTCTTCTGTTACCTTCAAAACATTCAAGTCCATCTGAGTTGTTTGTCCTTCAGAAAGAATGTACCAATATCTTCATTGTAAAACATATGCTTCTTAACATAATTGGAATTCTATAAAAAGGAGAGTCATTTTTATGAAGATTTAAATTCATAGGCCTAAAATTTGCAATCAAAATCACGTACGCATAGGCCTAAAATTTCCCTCACATTCCTCTTAATTTGTCAATTTCGAGTTCAAAATCAGAGACGCGTACAGAGAGCATTTGAGATCTATATTTTGTCTCCCAAAAGTCACTGCTCAAGATATCTTACATGAATACCAGAACTTGTCAGATTCTCTAAAATTTTATTTATGTATGCAATATATTACTTTAAAGTAACTTAAAATAAAATATTAACAAAAAACACATTGATTAGTTAGACCAGGGATTTAGTCACTAAGTTACAAGATGACAGAGTTTTATAAACATGTTGAATAAAACTAACATAGTGAAAGAAATTAACATAAACATGGAAGAGGTATAGAAAAAGTGGAGAAAATACATAATAGAATGATGACACAAATATACGAACTAAAAATTAATAATAAACATAAATAAAACAAAATAAGGGAGAAACTTTTAAATATAATTAAATGAACCCTTTTAAAAACCTTTCAAACAAAACATTAAGGCTCAAATGATATAAACCCCTTTTAGAAAAATCATAAAAGAAAAATCCTTTAAACAAAACATTAAAATACAAATCAAATAAAATAGCCCCCCAGTGACACAGCGGTATATCTGCGGACTTAACAACGCTAGAATCCGGGTTTCGACACCCGTGGTGGGCAGAGCACAGCTAGCTCGTTGTGTAGCGTTGTGCTTAATTACAAACAAACAAATAAATTTAGAATATTTAGAAGGCAAAATGTCATCACTAAAGCATACCTTTAAACGTTGTAAATGATATAAATATACACATTATATAATGTAATATTGTAAAATAAAACAGTTAATTTTATTGTAACGTTTCCGTAGTGTAGTGGTCATCACGTGTGCCTCACACGTGCAAGGTCCCCGGTTCGATCCCGGGCGGAAACATAAACTTTTCATTATATAAATTCTGTTTTGTTGTTTTTTGTTTGAATAATCACCTTCAACAAAGGACTTGGTGTTCAGCTATCTTCGAAAAATCAATGATTCATATTTCTATGTGTATCACAAATGAACTACGAAAATTTCATATTATTTGGGCGTAAGACCTGTATAGTTCAGTGACAATAACAAATAGATCGAGCATCACATCTCGAACTCAGCTGCAGCCACTCGCTAACCACTAATTTACACTCAGATTTTATATATTCAATAAAATATTTCCTAACAAATAATTGTTTTAAGATAAGCAATTCACTCATACAGATGAAATGTCAGAATATTAAAGTACAAAAATGAAATGTAAAGCTTCATTGCCACAAATAAACAAGTAATATTTATAAATAGAAAATATGTGTTAACTTTCCATAATATTTAATAGTAAAAGATTTAAACAGCTTATTTCAGTTATTTCAATGATGTATAACACCTGGAATATTGGAGGTGAAACACACTTTTCATGTCAGCTTTCGTAAGAAAACCTGCATCATGTTTGAAATATTATCATTAGAGCACAGTTAATTGAAAAGTATTTCGACAACCTGTCATAAGACATTATAACTAGGCCTTTTATATTTTTAAACACTGCATTCTCTAACTAGTTCCTTTGGGAATTTCCATATTGTTACGGGGAATATAGTGTGTTTGGAATACTATTATTATACGCTCTTCAAGTTCTTCAAAATTCCAAGTGGACTATATAAATAATGTAGTATTTAATAATATAACAGGCCCAATACTCATGACTTATCAAGAGTATGATTATACTTGGTGGACTATATAAATAATGTAGTATTTAATAATATAACAGGCCCAATACTCATGACTTATCAAGAGTATAATTATACTTGGTGGACTATATAAGTAATGTAGTATTTAATAACATAACAGGCCCAATACTCATGACTTATCAAGAGTATAATTATACTTGTGCTTCGTCAGTTTGTAAAAGGCGTTTACACCCTAACAACTATTGTTCTACCAACTGTTTTCGACTAGAGGATAAATTTATTATAAATTAACTAAACCCTTTTTTAATATATGTGTGATCAATCTTACAACTTAATACTTGATCTTGAAACAAAATATGCAATATTTCTATTATCGAAAAACATACTCAAAATATATTCATATATATAAACATATATAAACAAAAGAAGAAAGTTTCTAATAAAAAATTGCTCAATGAGATTGTATCAACACCTGTAGAACAAATTGGGTTGAAAAAGGGATTATATGACATAAGACGTAATATTCATTCATCTCAATTTTATGTAGACAAACTCAGGAAGAAAATTACGCAAAAAGAACAATTAATAAACTATATAATATATATGAAAAATTGTATTATTGTATAAACACAATCACTCTTAATGACATATTCTTACTGACATCAAGACCAAGAATCTAAAGTAATGTTCAAGTGAGCAAGACTGAATATATTATTGGTCATTACACGTGTAACTAATGGGTAGAAGATCGAGTTTGTTTATTTGTTGAATTTCGCGGAAAGCTACTCGACGGCTATCTGCACTATCTGTCTCTAATATTGAAGTGATAGACAAGAGGGAAGGAATCTCGTCATCGCTACTCACCTCCAATTCTTGGGCTACCCTTTTACCCACAAAATTATAATTATGACGCCCCCATAAATGTAACGGCGAACATGTTCGATAACAGGTTTCGATCTCGCGACCTGCAAATTGCGAGTCCAGCACCCTACCTCCAGTTATGCCAGGCCCTAGGAATTAAAGTTTGAGCTTGTTTTGTAGTGGATGTTATTAGGGGTTATGTGTAAAACGAAACCATTTTAGTAGAAAAAATATGTGTATTATACTGAAAATACAATCTTATTTATTGTGCATCTATTTAACGTTGTATCTATTTTTAATATTTTACATATTTACAAGTGCCATTTAATTCATTTATATAATATATTTATTATTTTATTTAGATTTTAAAAGATTTGTGAAACAGAAACAATGTTCCTTACTGTCCACAATTTCAAGGATTTAAGTACTATCACACCAATATCTTTTCCTGTCCCTTCCACATCAGAGACCTACCTTCAGACAACAGAATATTTTTGTATGCCACCTAGAATTTATGTCTCGACAAATGAAGTATCTAGCTTACCGTACACGAAGGTTCGTGTGGCTCACCTGCAAAGATATAATGTTGGGGAAAAAGATTTTCTCTAGTACGTAGCTTAGCCTTGTGTCGGTGTTATCCAAGCATAATCTCACCTTTCAGTTGCGATTTATTTCAATCCTCCCTATGTTTTCTTTATGATGTTTAGTATTAATTTTTGACACAATTTCTTTGGAATACACTTATTATTCCTATATTCTATTGAATATAATTATTGGTTCAGACCACTTTTTTAACGAAAGTAATAATTATAGTACCAGATAGATTTTTTAATTTCTGACGTTTTACATTTTCATTGGTCATGAACTAAAATTTTTAATTCGTACATTGTTTAGCTTAAATAAGATATTTAAATTAAAGTATTTGACATATAAGGTTTTAACATATAAATTTAGAAACTAAATGCCATCTATGGACAAAGAAGTTAACTATACGATAATTTTTTTTTCCATTTTTCTTACGCCAATAGTTACTGAGTAATGCCTTTATCTATTACGTAGTTACAAGTTATTTCTTTCGATGTTATTCTTTTTCCACCAAATCATTTTTAAATATTTTCCACATATTTTTATATCATTCTGATGTTCTTCGAGTTCCCTCAAACAAGCGTATATATGACCAGCAAAGTAACAAGAGGATTCGAAGCGGAGCCTGAATTTTCTCTGCCCATGACTGAGTGTGAGTTACAAGAAATACTTGTTTTGTTGGTAGTTAAGCACAAAGCTACACAATTGGCTATCTGTGCTGTGATGTGCCCACTACTGGTATCGAAACCCGGTTTTTAGCGTTATAAGAAAGAGACAGAAAACATGTTTGCAAACAGTTTATCTTACCTTATGGGCTTTCTCCCAGTGATTTAATGGTATATCTGAGGGCTTAAAATGCTAAAAATTGAGTTTGGTACATGCGCTGGGCAGAGCACAGATAGCCCATCCTGTAACTTTGTGTTTAAAAAACAAACGTACCTTATTGCAAGGTAATTTTATAGTCAACCAATTAAATAACCTTCTTCAAATCGTTTATATCAGGGCCTTATTAGGTATGTTTACGTTGAACATACAATGTCAGAAGCAAGTTTTAATAAAAACTTATGAATGAAAGTAAAGAAGAACGTAGATAACATGTCCACCATATTATATCTGCTGTACCTACTACCGACGATGCATTTCACATTTAATACTTCGGACCAGCTGGGGTATACAATGGACATAGTAGTTGTTGTTGATTTATATTAATAAGTAGCATCTGTTGCGGTGTGAAGAGAATTACGTACATTTTCGGCAAGTTTAGTTACGCCACAACACATCAGAAGTATGGTAAGGATTACTTTAAACTATCTTATGTATAATGTGTGAGAAAAGGATAAAATGTGGAACTCATTTTTTATTTTCTTTATATTGGAGTGCAATGGCTACACTGGCGCAGCATGTAATCTCACAAAGTTGATAACATAGCGAATCCCACATTTTGGCATTGTTAAGTTCTGAAACTTACCACTGACCCTAAATAAACTAAACATGATAGTGACTAAAATTCGAATCTATTATATTTGACAAAGTGAATACAGACGACTTGCCATCAAATTCACAATGATCTTACTATAATGCGCATATGTATCTATGTTTATATATAACCTAAATAATATATATAATGTGACGCCATCTATTGAGTGGCACCACAAACAAAAATCCATAAAAAATTTCACACTTTAGGTATTGTTTACTTGTTTGGAATTAAACATATATCTACACAATGGGCTATATGTACTCTACCCAACACGGGTATCGAAACTCTGTTTCTAGCGTTGTAAGTCCGCAAACATACCACTGTGCCAGTGGGACGCATTTAGGTATTGAAGAAAATCAACCATTCCTTTATAATAGGGCCCGCCATGGCCAGGTGGTTAGGGCGCTCGACTCGCAATCTGAGGGTCGCGGGTTCGAATC